AAAAAAACCACCAAAACAACAACAACAACAAAAACCAGAAGGATCAGAGGGCTATTTTGAAAATATTTTTGTAGGGGTTTTTGTTTGTTTGTTCTGATCCCATAAAGATTTAGGTCCATGTTACAGTTTTGTTACCAAACGCTCCCTCCCTCTTTGCTCCACCTTGCCTAACTCTATAGCAGTTATTTGTATACCCTGACCCTGTCACCAAAACTTCATAATTTTAGCAAGACTCATCTTACCGTACGGAAAGCTGCGACTACCAGATTGGAGGGAAACAGGTTCCTGTTGGAAAAGAAAGCATTTCATCAGCATTCTTAAAATTCAGGATTCTAAGTGTCTGCTCTCAGATGCCCTCTGACAGCCCAATACAGTGTTCCCTCCTTCCATCCCCAGAAGTTTCTGCCAACTTCAGCTTGCTCCAAGCATCCGGCTAGGCCTTGGCTGCTGGAGCACAGCAGGTATTTTGAGTGCACCGGACTTTTATCCTCAACTCTCTGTGCCATGTTTGAATTAACTGTGTCCAACTCACCCATCACTTTCCTTTCCCTGAGAGGTTAAGCTTTTCACGGGACAGTAGTGCTACCTACTAGTGGAATTCAAGGGAGTGTTTCTGTTGTCACAATTGGGGCATTTCTGGAATTGGGAGAGTGTGTGTAAGAAGAGCCAGGTCCCAGCCATTTGTCCTGCTGAAAGTGGCAATGAGTACTGTATGTCTCTAGGACTTCCTGCTTTCCACTGTCCTGGATGACACACTTGCCTATGAAAACCTTACTTGTAATTACCTAAGCCCAAACTAACTCCAAAGTGAGGTATTTTTTTGCATGATTTGTAACTTTTTTTTTTTTTTTTTTTTTTAGGAATGCAATTTCTACAAAATGTAGGATGGTTTTTGATTTGTTTTGTTCAGAATGTTTCCAAGAATTGTTTATTCTGGAAAACCATATCACCAATGGCAAACTGTAGGTCCTTAATACTATAGAGCAGTATTGTCAGCCCACATTATAGCTGTCTGTTGACAGTAAATCTGAATTCAGAAACAGGCATCTAACCTGCTTGTTTTATAGCAGTTACAAGTTGAAGCACATTATTATGATAAATTATTCTCCTTTGTCTTTTATATTTATGTAATATTGATATTTTGAAATTATGTGAGCAGGTAAATTCTATTTATGGATTTCATTTCAGGGTGAAGGAGATTATAAAATATTTGTAATAAAAGGAAGGCAATAAAGCTGATCAAGTTAAGCTAAGTTTTGAAACCAAAATCTATTCATGCAATCAGGTTTTATTGAGGGTCGGTCACCTTTGGGTCAAACTCGGTGCGCTTGATATGTAAGAAACTTCCGTTGACAGTCCATTGTTTCTACCCACTTTCTATAAGAAGAATAAATCTAGAAGAGTAAAAAAAACTCTGGATTACCCTTTACAATTTGTGCCAACTTACTAATTCTTGCCTCTGTGGTTGAGTTGGTCGCCTAGCATTAGAATCACCAGACAATTATTTGCCCTGCATTCAGTTTCAAAGGCTGGCAAATCTGACTGCAGACCAACTTGGCAGGCAGAGTGCCCGTTGGCTTCCCACCACCAAGAGGCCATCTTTGTGTAATACCTTCCCCTTGAGTGGGGGGAACCTATAATTTGTTTTCTAGACTATAGCACACAGCAAAAGTGCTAGCTATCATGTCTGATTTGTTACATGAAGTTGTGGCTTCCATTTTGCTAGGAGATGCGACTGTCTCTGGACTTGTGGCTTTGAGGAAACAAGCTGCCATGATGGAAAGGGTCATATGGCAAGACACTGGGGGCTCTGGCCAACAGCCACTGAGAACTGAGACTCCCAGTCTAAACTTCAAAGATCGAATTTTACAACCTGCCAAGTGACCTAAGAAGTGAATCCTTCACCAGTGAGACCTCTGGATAGAACCCCAAGTGTAGCCAACATCTAGACTACAGCCTTGCAGCCTTGCTAAGGACTCTTTTTTTTTTATTACAAAGTTTATTTTTACATCATTTTGCACATTTTTTTTTTCTATCTCGATTGTAATCCCCGCGGGTTTCCCATCACCAAATCACCCTGTGGCTAAGGACTCTTTTTTTTAAGATTTATTTATGCTTACAGAACTGGGGTATAGGCCAGAGGTGTGGTGGATGAGAAGATCCACCAGAGACAGAGTGGGGAGCAGAACAGGTGGATCTATTGAAATACACTGCTGAGGGGAGTAGTGGGTGGTTCAGGAGAGGTCCACTATGCCATGTGGGTCAGCTCTCTGGTGGGGGGGGGATGGAACTCGTGCTGCAGTGGCTTTGGAGAGCTTCATAATGCTGCGCTTTAACCTGTTGCGCCACCAAGGAGAGCCTCCCCCCGCCCCCCACATGTGAATGTCGCTCTCTTTCAAAGAGCACCTGCTATTTGTTTAAACCCTTATATTTGGTCTGGTTTGTCTCTTTAACGTGAACATAAACCAGTATTGTCTCACGCAGGATGGACCCTGACCCTAACCCAGAACTTCTAGATCAAACAGCCATGGTCACACCATCAGACAGGCTGCAATATCTGGCAGGCAAAATTCACTGGGAATAGAGGAGAATAGACAATAAATACTAGAGGTAAAATGGCAACTTTTACCACACCCACCCGCTCCCCCCACCCCCCATCAAGTTCTTGAAATAATGCAATGTGTTCTGGCAGTTTCTTATAAAGTTAAAAACAGATGTTTACTATGTGATCCAACACATAGTAAATATCCACTCCTAGATATTTACCCAAGTGAAATGAAAATATATGTTTGCCAAAAAGACGTGTATGTATATGTGTGTGTATATATATATAACAGAAT